TTGCTCGTTGACTCTCCTCAATACTTCTTCGTTGGTCACTCGATCCGTCCACCTGATCTTCTCTATTCTTCTCCAACACCACATTTCAAAACTCTCCACGTATTTCTGTTCCTTCTTCCTGAGTGTCCAAGTCTCTGCTCCATACGTAACACTCCATCTCCAAGCCCAACTTGCTAGTGAGAAGTATCCTCTTCTTGACGAAAGCTGCCTTGGCCATGGCTATCAAGTTAAATCATATGAGATTTATGTTCTTATGAAAATGTCTGTCTTGAAGGACGTTGCGCAGTGTAGTATGGTAGAAGTTTACTAACGTTCTAAAGGTACTTGCTGTCTTCATCATCAGCAAGTACCTCTGGAACGTCGGTAAATTTCTACCAGATGACACGGCGTAGCAGCCTAGAAGACGGACATATTCGTGTTACCTTAACCTCAATTTGCCACCTGCACGACTTTGCACACGCTGGGGGTGTTTGAGAACAGGATGCTGCGAAGATTATCTGGCTGGACCACTGACGGACAAAACTGCATGATGAGGAACTGGGAGCAAAATATGGTTAAAATATTCAAATCAAGGAGGATGAGATTGGTAGGGTATTTAGCATGTATGGAGGCTTTCGGACATGCGTACTGAATTTTCGCTGGAAAGTATGAAGAGAAGAAGATACTAGTCGGAAGACCTGTTAGAAGATGGGATGATATTACTAAAATGAATCTTATTAAAATAGTGAGGCCTGAAGGGAGTGGTGGTGTGCTCTTGTGAACTCGGTAATGAACATTCGGGTTCCATAAGAGGCGCTTAATTTATTTACCGTCCGAGCAACTGTTAGCTTCTCAAAGACGAGTCAGTTTACTCGCAGCATTGTTGTTTAAAACAACTGCGCAGAGCCTAGTATCAGTAAATGTTTCATCCGCCGCCAGGGGCGCGGATGTTTCTGTTCGCCACGGCGTCCAGACCGGTTCTTGGGGCCCACCCAGAATCGCAGCCCCAGCGTACGAGGGCGGAACGGGGTCTGTCCCCGGGGATAAGTGGACAGATGCGTGAAGCCGTGGTCTTATTCCCCGATACGCCCTCATGGCTTTGCGTTGGCATTAGGCCTACTTGCAGATCTCTTAGGATGTCGCAGTGTTTCCACACAAGCGAAACGGTGCGTCGTGGTAGTCCCGCGGTAAATCCTGTTACTCGTGTTTTGTTTCGTGCTCCTTCAAATCGTCAGCACCAAGACCACAAAGACGTCACAGTCTCTGCTGCATCCCATCCATTTCAACATCCAGACAATCGATACTTGGTAGTAATCTGCAATCTCTCAAGCTGACAATGGCCTCCCTGCCTTTACAGGCGCACGTCTGTG